TCCAATTAGCCCAAATTAGGCTGTGATCAGAAGCTCTACCAGAGGATTATTTCAAACCGAATTAGGACGCTCCAGGCTCTCTAACTTCCCCTAATGGAAATGGAACTGGGAAGCATGTTTGAATTGTTTGAAGCTATTTTAATAGCTTCGAGCGTCTTTGAAGTGCAGATTAATCAATTGACGTCCTTAATCTGAACGGGAAAGTGCTGCTTGCTAATTTTGTGGCTGCTGCCAACTGATGATTCCTAATCATCACTTCTCAAATTTTAAGCAAGAGTTTACCTATTCGATATGAGAGGCGTGGCTGTGTTGTCCACATGCCATTGAAAAGCCCTATGGTCGGATTTGGGGGATCAGAAAATGGCACCACGTCCATACAAGCCTGACAAAACAGATACTTTAATTTGGCCAAGTAAATTGCTTGCGTATTTAAGGGAAATTAGCCCTGACCACGCCCGTTCCAGACCAGCGGAGACACATGCACACATAAACAGACTATCTCGGACAGGGACTCGGAGAAAACAATAGCCATAAATGTTAACAAGGAGCTGTCGCCCCACAAAACACAAGACTTAATGATGCCAAACAAGAGGGAGCCGGTTGTGGGCAGAGCACATTTAGCATGTGTCTGTGACAGGTGCTAAGGTGTCTGCCGAATTCGAATACTATTTCTATCTGTTTCTAGGTCTGTCTGGTCTTGGGCCTGAGCCTCGGCCTATCTCGCACCGGAATTAATTAGAAAACTGCGGTCGGACCTTGCCTTTTCCCTGTGAAACATTTGGCAGCAAATTTAATTTGCGGCTAACTTGGCAGGAGGCGAAAGCCTGAAGACTGGGGACGAGCAAGCAGGCTCCAAGTCTTGGGGGACCAGGCATTTAAATTTTCTGGCGAAAATCTCTGCAAATTCTTTGATTAAATTCCCCCTATTCAGCATTTGGGCGAGCTTGGGTGGCACTGTGATTGATTAACGTGTGTGTCGAATCGAAAGTGTAGGGTGCACAGTGCCCGCCCACCTCCAGCAGCAGGAATAATGGCAACAAAAGTCAAACTACGTCTCATTGCCAACCTTTGGACGGATTTGCAGAGGAGCTGCTCGGAGAGGGCGAATGACTGATTGTCCTTGGCCCTCGTGTTTGGAGCACATATGCATATACCCGTACATAAACGCGGATGGCTGCGTCTATAGCCATAACTGGGGACCCAGGCGACACGTTCGCACATGAAAAATCGTTCCGGCTTGCCCTCTGCGAATCTGATTATAAAACATGTGCTTAAGTAATAGCCTCCAAAGTGAAGTGTTTGACTTGACTTGACTTGACTGACTTGACGAGCCCGCGCTCCGTGTCGTGTAGCAGATTGCCAATTCACCAATTCACTACAGGAGCGGCTGAAACGGGGCTAAGATTGATAGGTTGATAGGTTGATGAAAATAAAAACTGAATCGAAAAGGGGAAAAGTTTCCGAGAGCAAAGAAATGAAAGCAGCGGCAGTCGAATCCGTATCGATTGGATATTAATATCGGTGGACCACCTCGTCCACCGCTATCAGATGAGGTGCCACTGGGTGTGATGAAAAAGGATTCACATATAACTCGTTATAAACATATCATTCGCATTCTCTCCGATCAGTCATTGAAGATCAACAATCGACAAAAGATACAGCGGCGTGGAAGCATACATATGTATGTATGTACATATATCATAAAATAATCTGAAAGAAACGGTGCTTGATCAGCAAATCGCTATCACTTTCAGCTAAAACTTCAAGCAGATACTCGTATTCTCAAACCACTACAAACCACCCACCACTACAAAGACCCGCACTCCCACCGTCTACACTCAGCTATCAAAAGTATGCGCATAACTCAGACGCTGCCATTTGCATGCTTCGAGTGTTTACAAATGGGATTCGGACTCGGATTTTTCCGCATTGCATAAATTCCCTTTATGCCGTGCCAGCTTGACGAGGAAAAACTTTTTGCAACATTTTATCAGATTATGAAACACACAAAATGCAACTTTCCGTCCTGTGTGTGTGCACGAGCTAGTGTATGGGCAACCAATATAAGAAGAAAGAAAAATACAGCTCGAATATACCCCTCTACTTACTCGTACCTTTCCCCTATACACATTTCCCAAAGTAAACGGAAACATTAAACTTGTATTTGTGAGCCATACTCGTAGTCGCCCCGGCTCGTACATACTCGTATGCGGAGAAAAGCTGACACAACAATTGGAAATCGGCTAGAAAATAGATGGTGCAACAGCGAACTCTTCAAGAAAACTGGAGAAGTTTGAAGAGGTTGCACCTTAGCGCACCTTAGAATTGTGCTTCAACTTTTTCCCCGCAAACCAGTGAGGAAACTGGGAGCAGGCAGGCAGGCAGGCACGCGAAAGTGGCATCAGCGATTTGTAAAAAACAGCAGCAGGATCTAAATGAAATTTCTCACCTCTTTTTACTGATAGATACATCAGCGACCCCACTAATGCTAACTTGCATCCTTATCAATCTCTATTAAAGAACGCTCTGCGAAGGAGCATCCGGGACAACTCGGGACTGGCGGTGATGAAGATGCAGACTCAACCCTAACATGCACAAAGCCATGACAAATGGCCAACAGAATGCATATTTATGATTGCACACAGATACACATTCCTGACCATACTCAAGGCCAGTATGATTGGTGCTGTTGCTCCCACTTTCGTGGCACTCGGCTCGGGTACTCGGCTAAAATGCCAGCACAAACTTTATACGCACGTAGTCAATTACTCAAACCAGCAGCAGGCAGGATTACCACCCACCCACACGTGCATCTACATACATTTGTATGTATGTACATGTATTTCTACATATGGCTGCATACCTCTGTACATACATATGTAGGTGTATTGACATTTTCCATTCTGGCAGTCGGGAAAGAGATAAATTAAACCCCTCCGATGCTGATTTGGCCCTGCCGTTCTGCTCAAAATAAAGAATCCTAACGAGAATAAGAGCTTTTTCTAGAGTCCCTGCAAGAAATATAAGACCAATATATGTACTATATGCAACTTCCTTTCCCTCAGACTTCACTCTTTCCTTGTTTGGATAAGTGGTCAAATTTAATTTAAAATAGGTTCAAATAAAATTTTAACAACTATTTTCAGCCTTTTTTGAAGTGTCGTTGTTGTCGCCCAACATTACATATACATACATACATATGTATGTATGCATTTTTGTAAGTATGTACGAGATGTAGTCGTAGTTGCCCTCCTTATGGACGAAAACAACTCAATAAATATTGCATCGAACATACAATTGAGAGTATTTCCTAACTCCGTAGAACAACAACACTCCGAACATGCCATGCTATGTTATTGTCTTTCGATCTGTGTTCTGTCTCTGACTTAATTCCTTAAAAGGCTGAGACAATTACAATTGGAATTTATTTGGCAGACTGGCCGGTCTGGACAGAAACGGCACGGCACTGAAGGAGGCGTCCAGATATCATGAGTTACTGTTAATTAGAAAATTGTTATTCAATAGATTGGAGTCTGTGTGCAGTGGGTTTCTTGTGGGTCCATGTTTTAGATTGATTAAGGGGGGCTAAGGAATTTATATCTGATGGAATCTATCTATTCCCGACTATATTTATATTTCATTGGTGTTATATATAAACATTAATTAAACATACATACATAATGTACTGTACCTCGAATGTTGCTAAATTGAAAGAAAAATGCCATAACGTTTCTTTGCTTATTAGTTATTGTTAAAGATAAGATTGACATGATACCCTTGCCTTGGTTCTGCTATGCTGCAATTCCTTTGTACTGTTTGGCCAGACACATGAAGTAGCTTCCTTGACCTAAAGTAATCTATTTCAAATTATAGTCGTATATTTATTCCTCATCGCTGGCCATGGATGAGTATTAAACATTACGGCTCCTTGGCTCATTAACTCCCCGACATACAAAGAAAAGATCGACGTTTTGCAATTTCTAGCTCAGTCTGTGGATCTTTATCTCATCGAAATCTTATGGGGAATTTAAAATGTATTCTAGCAACTGCACATCCGTCAACCAGGGCAAAGTTTTGGCAAGTGGCAAGTATTGAAGCTTAAGAAACATGAACATGAAATATAGGCTTTAATTAGAGTTCCGTTAATTCGTTTCATATTCAAAGTAAATATTTCTATGAACACAGCTGTATATATTTCCATGCTTAACACAGGTTTTTAATTAAATTTCGTTGCTTTTCTCGATTTTCTTATATAATGTATTATATTGTTATTGTATTGTTGTACTACAGTAACATTGACAGTGGAAGTTCGAAAATAACAAACCCCACAAATTATAACTGTCCATTAGAACCGGGCATTTTATTGCATTGGCGACACACAGAGTTTTGCCTTTTTGATTGAAGTAAACAAAAAATGGGAATCACCGAAATTTTCGTGGTATATACAATTCAGTCAAAAGCCTGTGTAATTTGATACTCCTGTGGAAATTTGTCTCAGTTGATGACTAGAGGACAAAATACAAATTTAAAAATAACTTAAAATTTTTTTTGATGAGTTTTAATCTGTTTAATTTAATAAAGTTTGCGCAACTATATTTAATGTTTTGTCATTTTCTGTAAACAAACGGGGAACGGCGCGACCCTATACCCGACCAGCCTTTGGCAATTTAAAAATACGAACTTTTCACACGTACAAACAAACACGAACAAACCTTATCACCCCCCGCTGGGGCGGCACGAACGGGGGGGGGGGGGGGGTGGTGGGGGGGGGGGGACGACGCAGCAACGAGCGCGGGGGCCCGATTTGTACGGGCCTCGCCTTTGGGGGGGGGGGGGGGGGGCCGAGGGCGGGGCCGGACCCCCAGCAGGGCCCGCGGACGCGGCGGCGGACGGCGCAGCGGCAGCCGGAGGCGAGCGGGGGACGTCCCGCGCCCCCACCCCACCCACCGACGGGTATAAAAATGGTCAGAAATTAGAGTGGTTCTAATATCCGAACTTCCACAGTAATACAAATTAAAATGTCATTAATGTTATCGCAGCAAAATAAATAACATAGAAAGTTTAAAATTACTCTCGGACTGAGTTTGGCTTGAGCGTCAGAAGCTCTGCCACGCCCACAATGCGTGCCATGAACCGCACAGGTGCCGGCTGCATTACCGCGGCTCCATGCCGCTCCTGGACTTCGACCACCAAGTTCACTATCACCCGACCACACAGCTCCAAGTTGGTGCTGTTCAGGCTCTCCAGGGTGGTGAAAGGTGCCGTCGAGAAGGCGCCGGATGGTATCCGCCTTAGCCTGGATGCGTCCATCAAAGTCCTCCAGCACCGGCGGTTAATTGGTGTCTTGCCAGTCCTCAGCACTGAAATGCAGGCTGTACACCTGGTCACAATCTTATGTTTCTTGGCACACTCAATCCTTGCCAGTCCGGCTCTCCGTATCGAATGCAGTACGTGTTGCTGGCCGGCGTCTATGGCGTCTTTGCCGAGAACATCCGTGTGTACGGAGACCTGCAATGATATTAATCAAGTAGTATATATATAATTAATTTAATATAAACATATAATATATCACTTACCACTTTGAGGTACAAAAACTGGAAATTGCTTCCATCCAGGTTAAAGGCTCTATCGCCAGCACCTTCCACCGGTTGAACTGGTAATAGGCGGGACTGGGACCAACCAGGGAATGTGCAGCATCAGGAGAGAAATACTCCAAATTTGACATCTCGGAGATCTCTCCAATGTTCGGATCGTGCGAATATTCGATGAAACGCGTGGCTGAGATTTTTCTCAAGGCAAAAACAAAGGATTTTATGAACTATAATACCTAATTTAATTATTATATATTAATAGCTGGATCATTGCCTTCGCACCAACAAAAATTTCAATAGCCAGTTATGCTAAACCAAAAATCCTCAGGCCATAAGACGGAAAAGTCCCACATTTCCCCATTTCTGCATTATAGTTATTTTCAATTCGCGATATCGTGACAAAAGACAATTGAGGTGTGTGTTTAAAGTAAAAAATAACTCAATAACTAGGCATATTAAGGCAGCCTGAATAACAACTTGACCACTGATTATAATTTTAAGTTGGATAATCAGCAACAATTCTTTATTTCTTGATAGAAAAATAAAATCATTAATACATAATTATTATTATTGTTACATTTAAGAGGTTTTGTATTGTGTAAGTTTCCGCTCACAGTTCCCTGCCACGCTGTGCACGTAGCCCCTCTACGGATGGGCATTGGCATATCTAGCAACTACTAATTGTACAACTATTTCGCTGCGGCTCTCGGCTCCTTTTTGGCTTAACACTGACATTTTAGAAGCTAGGTGCTGGGGACTCAAGCACTCTCTCTCTTATGTTTTAGCTTAGATCTGTATTATAACCAAATTCTGATCAGCATACATTTCCCTTTCCTTTGGGCGAGTAAAAAGACTCGAAATGTAATGTTTCTGCCCACAGAAGAAGACGTTTGGAGTTTACAATTACAATAACAACTATGTAGAGGTAAATGCTAAATAGTTAATAATAGTTTATCATTTAAGCTATGTGCTGCAGCTTAGTTTTGTTGCTCCGTGCTCTGAAGCTACTTGCTTAGTTCTCCACCGACTTCTGTCAACTAAAGCTTGGTCAAATACACTCGCACTGGAACCATACAGCAATCATTTATAGCTCTGGACTGAGTGCTGGTTCGGTCTGAAAATCGGGAGAGTTATTACCTCCCTCCCTAACATAACATTCCTCCCATCACTTTTTGCACTTAACTCCTATTTGTGAGGCTGCATGACAATGTGCTTTTAGTATTCAATCGGATTCGGATCGCGTGGCTTGCGTGAATACTTCAGCCCCAAATCGTCGGCGGTCTCGTCAATGACCTCCAGGGCATAGTCCAGCTGCTCTTTGGTGTGGGCAGCCGAGAGGCAGAAGCGGATGCGACCCTCCATAATGGGCGTGGCTGGGAAACCGGCACCCACCACGGCTATGTGGCGGGTGGTCAAAGTGCGAACCACGGCTCTGAAAGGGGGTGAAATATATCGAGACTAGCAATGAAACAATGAATTTGGAGTAATTTGGGGCTCAGCACTCACCCAATCTTGGAGAAGAGGTAGACCAGCATGGGCACCACGGGCGAATCTTCGTGGCCGTAGGTTATCACTCCTAGCTGGGCCAGACGACGGCGGAAATACCGCGTGTTCCTGGCCAGTTGCATTATCTTGTTGCGACCCGTCTCAGTGCCATCCTCGCCCATGATGGTCTTCATGGAGGTGAGAATCTGCTGAGCAATGGGCGGCGAAATAGATCCAGCATAACAGTGGGCATGGCTGTTGGTGCGAAGGAAGTCAATCAGTTTCTGCAAGGGAACAAATAATAGCAGCATTAGTAGGGAAAAAAAACCTTAGTTAAAGGGGGATCGCACCTTAGACCCGGCCAGATAGCCCCCGGCACTGCCAAAGCTCTTGGTGAACGTGCCCATAAGTATGTCGACGTCTTTTGGATCAACCTTGTAGTAGTCCGTGACGCCCCTTCCATGGGACCCCATAGCGCCCACGCTGTGAGCTTCGTCCAAATAAAGATATGCCTTGTACTTCTTCTTCAGCGCTACGACCTCGGGCAGGCGCACTATCGAGCCCTCCATGCTGAAGATGCCCTCCACAATTATCATCACCTTGGACCAGGGTTTGCCTCCGTTCTTGACATTGCCGTGGCAGATACCATCGCGCAGCACGCGCTCCAAGTCCCGCATGTTGTTGTGCTTGAACACCTTGATTGTGGCCCCGGACAAACGCAGGCCCAGGATGATTGAGGCATGGTTCTTCTCATCGCTCACCACCATGCAGTTCGGGCCGAGCAGAGATGGCAGGTTGAGGGCGTTGGTGGCGAAACCCATGCCAAAAACGATAGCATCCTCCACGCCAAAGTAGCGAGCAGTCAGCTTCTCTAGCTCGTCCACCTGAACATTGTTACCCAGTTCACAGCGGGAACTGCAGTAGGCCAGGCCGGAGCCACGTGCCCGGTCCTCGGACTCGTCGGCGCAGCGACCCGTGGCGGCGGCAAAGCCCAGATAGTTGTAGGAGCCCAGATTGAGGCAACGCGTTTCTGTGCCCGTGAATTTGAAGCTCCATCCATAGTCATCGGTCACACGGTCCTTGAGCGTCAGCTCATCACCGGGCACACTGGATATGGGACGGTTCCAGCAATCCTTAATGCGCCGGTACACGTAGCGGGAGTAGAAGCTTTCGAAGGCGTCGTACAGGGCCACGTAGCCCTCACGTCCCTTTTCTGTGGCCACTTTGGGCACGAACAGCAGCTGGTTGATGTAGCCTAGAATCATGAGCAGGTAGAATCCGAGGTATGTGAGGCAGGCCGTGTGCATGGGCACCTCCTCGAACGAGGTCTTCTGGTAGTGCTCCTTCTCCGGCGATAGCTTGCCCTCTGCCTGGTTGGGCTTGGACTCTGACTTCTGCTGCCTGGTCGCGGAGGCGTGTCCATTCAAGTGCGCTTTCTTCTCCGGGTGGTAGTTGCTCGAGCTGGCTTGCTGTGGGCCGGAGGGATAGACAGCGATTAATAGGATGTTATCATTAATTGATTAGCCTGCGAAGCTTATCGCTGGACATCTACATACATAAAATGCAATAAAAATCACTTATCAGACACCAAATCCATAGAGTTCTGCCCCACCAACAGGTGCTAAAATAGTTTACTGGGGAGCTAAAACTAGGGGCACACACATATATATGTACATATGTACATATTAGTAGAACCAATGTGTATATACATACATACATATATGTACGTTGAGATCGTTGAGAACACTGCGTTCTCCGCAGAAGCATCGTCATGAGTGATGAGTGCACAGCAACTCGGTTGTTCAGTTCAGTTCAGTACAGTTCAGGCAATTCAACAATCCAATTAACATTCAACTAACAAATCTGCACACATATGTACATAAATGCTCGTTTATACATACATACATACATATGTGCCATACATATTTCCACACAATGGCGCGCTCGGTGGAGTGAACATCAATGATACCGAAATGGCAGTATTAAAATATCAGATAAACAAGAAACTGCTAGCAAGAGCACGACTGCTATCTATCGAATGTTCCTTTCCTACACACTTGTACGTGTAACCCCAATTTTCATCATGTCGAGCGTGCACAGTAAATCATATACACTTGTAAAAGCTAACCGAACTACGAACAATTTGCTGATCTAGCTCTTCCACTGACATGAGTTAGCTTTAATATGAAGTCCGACACACAAATAGAGAGGGAGATGGAAGGTAGGGAAGCCATATAGCAATTGCCCACCAAACCTCTCCGATTTAAAGGCGGCACGGTGTAATTAACATATTTATTAATATACATACGTGAAGAAATAGCTTGCTTATTGATTTTTCTTTGGGGAAGTATCCGACAGGAGCCATCAATGCAGGGTACCACTCTCATGCACAGGGAATGTGTATGCCTGACCGTACGAACTCAATTATATAACAATAACAAGACGACGACAATAATATTTCGTGTTTATTATCATTTGCCTCTGGCTTGTTAACAAAATATTTCTATAAGGAGGCAGAGAGAAAGAGAGAGAGAGAGAGAGAGACAGAAAACGAGATAGATGAGCACAGTAGATCGGGGTGGAAAGGTTTCAACAGTTACGCGCTGGCGATGTTTTTAATGAACTGAACGTGAGCTTTGGTATACCCTACATATTATACATACATATGTACATGAAACCAGAAAATAGAAAAAAAGCGAAAACGAGTCGAGTAAATAAATAAAAAATGTGTACTACTAATTAGTCTAGAGAGTCTACACCCACCGGGCTACAGAGGTTGGGGAATAGGGTGGGGTGGAGTCAGATAACGGCTTCCATATTCATGGGATCCAAGGTATTGTAGATAACGATTGGCTATTGAATGACTATCTGGGTGCATGTTACCGTTCTCTAATGAAGAATCATTTCAAAAGCCAAGAGAAATAATATTCAAGCCGAAGTCTGGGCTCTGACTAACTCCTACGAATCTTTACGAACTCCCCTTCGCTCTTGGAACCTTTTATAAATTTATCTTGCCGATCGCTGGAATAAATAGACGCCTAATAACAAGTTAATCTATGCTATGCTTCGCGAGTCAAAACTTTTAGGGGCTAATCAAGGGAAACACGCGCAGACGTTCTGTTAGCCATAATAATAAAACGTTTAAGATATGCACGTGGAACTTTGTGAAAGCTGGCGAGCGTAAATAATTGCATGGCAAATCCGCATAAAAATATTTAATTTACAATTTCATGGTGTATAGTTCATATAAAATATGATATTATATATACAAGCTACCTGTTTAATGTCAAATTTTACTTTTAATATTCAGTTAATCTAAGGAAATTCTTTACTTTCATAAGAAAAATGACAGATATTTGTTTTATTATGAATGAAATGTACGCCTTGAAAATCATTTTGCCTAAAAGAAACAAAATTTCCCTGGTCAGGCCATAGGTATGCATGTATGTACATACATATGTACATATCCAACGGGCTTCACATGCCCCTATCTCTAAGACCCAAGGAATGCCCAAGGCTTTCGACTCTACTACTAAATCGCCAAAAAAATCTTATCGCGAAAAAATCAACGCCCACTACAAATCGGCCGCCCTTAGCAAACGACTGTGAATCACCACCCGGCGACGCTGACTCGCGCTCTACGAAGCTTTACGTGAAAAAGAGATTGGAGCGAATGGGCCTGATAAGGTGACTCGCGCCATGGCATGACATTACCAGTCCGCAGGGTATCGAATATTCGTAGCCGTGTACCGAAATAAACAAATGGGACAATGCGGACCTCCAGGACACATGTCCCTGTTGCCTTGGCAACCAAACGTTTGTAACGTCATTGATTTGCCAATGAAACCGGACGGGGAAAAATCAAAAGGAAAACAC